CACACACACCCGCACACAGTCTGCTCAGAGGAACTCGCAAACCCGGGCCACTAATCAGCCCTCTGTGACGCTGCCGAAGCGCGCAGACCAGCGACGGGAACGGAGAGATGGCGAGACTCCCCGGCAAAAGAGGGGGCCGCGACTGTTCTTCGCTTTACGTACTTACGCATATATACATACATGCATATACATACATACATACATACATACATACATTCTGGCTTTAACTTCTAGCGCGGCCCAGAACTGGCTAAAAGGACGCTGCATCTCAGGAAGCAATAGAATCAGTAAAGCACCCACCTTGTCCCTAAGGGGAATGTTTGCGTGTTCCTAACGCCTCGCGGAACTGCTGGTTGGACAGATGTCGCGCCTGTCTTGCCCTTCCCTGGGCTGGCTTCGCGGCGCCAATTTGCCCTTCGCCTTGGCCCCCATTCCTCCAAACCACCCCAAGGCGCAGCGCAGGACTGCCGGGCTCGCCCCACACCTGCGCTTCTCTGCCATCAAACTGGGGTTGACTGGCCGAGGACTGAGTGTGAGGAGGTGGGTACTAGAAGAGCTCTGGGGAGACCCTCCCCCGCTCCCCGCCCCCAGACCACCAACAAAGCCTCCTTTGACCCGGTGGCTGAAACACAGGAACGCCTAGCAGATAGGTTTGGACGAAATCTTGGAAGCCAGGGACGCCGCTTTGCCTCTGGTGTCTGTGAGGTTATAGCCAGCACTTCGCTCCTCCAAGCTTTGCATTTTCAGATCTACCCCCCACCCCAAGGGATATGATAATAGTAGCTATCTCACGAGTCTATTTAGAGCATTAAATAGGAAAATAATAATAATAAGGCTACCGTGTAACATCTGTGAGGCACGAACTAAATGTTTTATTTGAGGGGATTTCACCCAGTCCGTGGAAGTAGGCATTATTATTATTGCTGTGGTCTGACAGAAGTAAAAGCATAGTGCCTGACACATAATGAGCATACAAAATAAGACACATCATTTTTATTTTATTTTTTATCACCATTTATCCCTTCTATGCCCTCTTCACCTTCACACCTCCCCCTCAAGACACATTATTTTAAATTTACATTTCACATTTTACCTAAATCATAATGGAGGAAAATTTGCAATGAACATCAAATAAAATTATGTAAAAAGATATAAAGCTATATATTGTGAGGAAAGAATAAGTACAACAAAAATATAGACCAATATCTTGGGCCTAGAAATATATAGGCTATGTATATACCCTAATATATGTATCTATATATTAGACTCGTGGTCGGCAAACTGCAGCTCGCGAGCCACATGAGGCTCTTTGGCCCTTTGAGTGTGGCTCTTCCTAAGCCTTAGGAGTGCCCTAATTAAGTTAATAACAATGTACCTACCTATATAGTTTAAGTTTAAAAAATTTGGCTCTCAAAAGAAATTTCAATTGTTGTACTGTTGATATTTGGCTCTGTTGACTAATGAGTTTGCCGACCACTGTATTAGACACATTGTATATAATATGCCAGTTTATAATGTATAGTCATGTATTAATATATAATAACATAAGATATACATGGGGTCTATAGGATGTTATACACACACACCCATAATAGGCCAATTCGTAATTCAGAACCACCCAACGAGTGTGTGTCCCTGAACTGCCATTGATGGATCATGGATATTCCTTAGCAGCCCATTCTCTGAGCCTCAGGGCTCCGTGTGCCATAAGATCATTATGATATTCTGCTTGTGTCTTGAGGAGATAAAGGTTCAGAGGCAGCTTTGAGTTTCCTGACAGCCAATGCCAAACAGGAAGAAAGTGGCGTTTTCTACTGTCTTGGCTCTCTGGATGGTAGCAGAGGCAGGCGCAGCGCAGGCTCTTGGCCTCCCTGCTGGTGGGTTTCTTCCGGTTAGAAAACCTGTCCTTTCTGATCTCTTCAGTGTTCCCCATCCTCCAGTGCTCTTCCCAATTCGCTTTTTGCACCACCAGGAACTGTCTTCTTTTCCATTCCTGGTAAGGATCACCCTGCCCTTGAAGTGTGTGTGGCTCAAGCAGCATCTCAGAGAGAAGAGGAAGGACTTCTTTTCCTTGATCTTCATTTATGATTTTAAAATAATACAAATAAGAAGGTTTATTTGAGAATCACACCACACTACTGAATGTAGCATATGCCATTTACTCAGCCTTCATTCTTGGGCTCCTCAGAGTTCCAAAGGGTCCATCAAAACTCACTTTCTCGGGCTTACAATTGAACTCTGCTCAGAAGTCAAATGTCACTCAGATTTGCCCTCAACAGAAATTAAGTCAACCTTCAAATCTCTGTCCGGTACATGCTGTCCTTTCCTTGTGGTTTCAGTCATCACGCTTGGATGGTTTGGATGGATGCTCTCAGAGATTTTTTAAGTGGGAGGCATTGGCAGGTTTGCTTAATTTACACTTAGCTATTAGATTGTTGTCAGGATTGCCCCCTTTGAGCCCGTAGCTCCAACCAACGCATTCTTCTTCTTTGGTTCTTCCATCCTCTATCACTAAGCTTGTTAGAATATTCCCCAGAAAGCCCAGTGCAGCAAGACCTGGAAGCCCTGGCCTGCCCCTGGTTGTTCCAGGCTCTCCCCCTCTTGCTTGTGGCACTTTGAAGAATAGCCACCAGCTTCTCTGCCTTTGCATTCCATGCAGCCACCAGGACAAAAGGTTGTGTTCAATACACAAGTGCAACCATGGCAAGGCAAGTGGTCAGTTCAATTATCATCAGTTGTCCATTCCAGGCCACAGAGGATGCTGCAAACATAGGCACAGGATGTTGGACAACCACAAACAGAACATGACTTAACGGAGCCAAATAAAATGGAGCCCTATTTAGTCTTGACTGAAGTGGCATCGTTTCTTGAGTTGGCAAACATGCATCTTTAAACACTTTTACTTACACAAAATTGATTTAACAGCTTTGCTAGATGAATGGGTCTTTTTAGGGCACAGATTCTATCTCCGAGATTTCTTCCCACAGCGCCAAGCATTATACCTTGCACACACTAAGTGTTGAAGAGTTATTTGTGGACTCAATGTACAGTTTAAAAGATATTGGCTCTAAATTGAGGCTAAAAAAATTGAATCTTTTTTTTTTTTTGAGCACTGGTTATGTAGTTTAGGTCTACTTATCCCCTGGAATGGTTTTTCATAAAACGTGGCATTTATTTATTTCAAATGGTATTAGGCCTTTGGCCACACTGTTTCTTGTGCTTCTCCTTTTGATTTGACTTCCTGTGTATTATTTTTATCTTGGCAAGGTCTTTCTGACAGGGCTAGAGTGCAGGAATCCTTTCCTCTCTAGCTACCGCAGAGATCAAATCACTTCTCTGAGAGTACAACATCCAAGTCTATGCATGTTTAATACAATCTAGATGTTATTTGGTACCAACTTACCAAAAGACTTTGGGTACTACCTCCCACCCCACCCCCAATAAAAATAGAATATGTCGTTGGCAAAGTGCATTACCTACTACATAAGGTCTTCTTGTGTGTGACCTTCATGTTTGTTTCCTTCCAAAATGAAGTGAAACTGTCTTAGCATCTATCTAACCAAAACGATTATCCATCTAACCAGAACAATTATTCCTGGATAGGGAAGATGAAAAGTGTTGTAACGTTTTACAACTGTAACACATCAAGACTCATGGAGAGTGGATAATCTAATCCCTGGTTGTAAAAGTGAAGACTCAGCCTCAGAAAGGTCAAGATTAGCTAGAGTTAAATAGCATGGTACAGCCAATCTGAGCGCGAAACCTGGTCAGTGTCAGTTTCAAGACACGTGCCCCTACATCAAAAGTGGTATTGGGATGGGGCATTGAAGTTGCATTTATAGGCAGTTTACAAAAGACTTGGAAAACATTCATTATCCACCCCAAAACAGGGGGAATGCTGGTGAAGAATATGACACGGATGCTGGTGCATATTTGGTTTTAAACACTTTATATTTGTGATTCATCTGGGTCACCTATGTGTGGGTGCTTCTACTGATATTGGAACTCTCATCAACCTATTTAAAGTAAGCAATATATACATATATTTATTGCAAATAAATTTTATAGCAAATAAAATTATTCCCATTAAAAGAAATAACATTTATTTTAATGGGAATGATTTACAGAGAAAATACTTCACCTGTCAAAGGTGTTGTTGCAAAGATCAAGCCTTATGAGAAGGCTTTAAAAATCCAGAAGGCACAATGTAAAATGCAAAAGTATTTGTGTTTGTACTACTAAAACATGTGGGCAGAGAATTTTCTGCTTAGTTTGGAATTGAACTTGAAATCTGCTCCTAAAACAATACAATAAATACGCTTGAATTAATTACAATTTTTAAAAAAATCAGAATTATTACAACCTGATGTTGCCTTTCAGGGGTCACATTTTGAAAATCTCTCCATGTGTTAAAAAATGAACGAAAAGAGTTAAAATTAGTGTATTTTAAATGTTTACATTGAACAAATTAAGGTCTTTAATACCCACAAACACAGAATAATCTTCATTATTTGGAGATAATATCAACAGTCTAAATGTTGGTCCTTTGTAAGTGTGAGGCCTAAGGTTAAAGACATTTCCGTTTCCTCCCCGCAAGTCTGAGGTTCTGACCACTCTATTAGGCAAATTTTTATTTTCATGTCACATTCCAGACACAGCTACTCTTTGAGAACATTTTTCAGATGTTATGCATTAGACAGGATTAGTCATAATCCTAGAAATGACCACAGACATGGTTGATCTTACCAGTCCTCCAATGACAAACTGGCTCATAAATCAACAGCTCTCTGCCTCTCCCCAGAGGAAGAGACTAGAGAAAACCTCCTTCTGAAAAGGTTTGGAAGCAAAGCCAAGAGTGCCCTCTTGTGGCAAATGAAAAATCATAATTTTGTTCTCAGTTGTGACTTCATTTGGTGGCTTTGCCC